ACCTAACAACAATTATATTCAACAATTTTTATTGAGCTTGAACCATTTTTAATGAAAAACTTATTGTGGAAAGGCAACATTAATTTGAAGAAAAATGGTAGAAGTGATACCTATTTCGGAATTCACCTCATTTCGTCATCAGACTTCTTTCAGTAGGATTCGAACCGACGATCCCACTGACTCAGCCAGTTGTCTACGCACTGTGCTAAGTTCTTCTTGTAAATTATCGTTGTTTTTTCCCACTTTTTCATTTGCTAAGCCAACACAATCAAGCGCAGCTATTCCGCTGCTTTTCACACTTTTTATATATAGATGACATTCAGACACTGTAATGGCATAAAAGAATTATAAAATGCAACCCTACAAATAGTCAAATAATATATTAAAAATCTTATACTACCATTATTCTGTGCTATAATATATATAACATACATATGAGGCATTTTTTTCATACCGGACCCCAAATTTGGTGTCACAATTCCTATTGGCTTCTTATTTTTCCTTTTTTCTTCGGATATACATATGATCTGTCAAATTTTGGATTTTCCGTTATTCTGACTAAATAATCAAGTACTTCTTTAAATTGTTATATCTCGGGATCTGTTCATTGTAAAGACTTCATTGTTGGCTCACAAAATAACCCTGCAGCAAAATTTAGGGACAGTCTAGCAAAGCGCTAGTTCTGCCCTACAAATTTCAGAACTGTCTCTAAATTAATGAAAAAGGGATGCAGAGTTGGACGGTTGAAACTCATATGTTGCTAGTTGCGCTGTCAATACTATATACTATATGTAATATACTATATTTTTTCGATTTTCTTAGACCCTACAAGTAATAACAAACTGTTTTCGTTTATTAAATATGTAATTCTCTACATAGTTTATGGGGCAACTGCTCAAATATTTCCAAAAAAGTCGTTATTGGTACATTAATGTCATTTTTATACATATCTACGTACGTATAAAATATGAATAAAATCATATAAACCATGTTTTAAAACTTTATACAAAACAAAGTTAAATTTAACGATTTTTCGTCAAAATGTTTGACCTTTTAATCAGATGTAAAAAAATTAGCAAAAGTGGTAAACAATCTCACTTTGAAATGGGAGTGCTATTGATATGAACGATAATGTACATACGTAAATGTATCACTAAGCCCCCGAAATGTGTAGTTATGCATTGATTTTTTTTTTTAATTTCCAATGTTCTTCATTTTAAATATTTTTCGTTTAGTTTTTATTTAAGTACTGTGTCTCATACTCCATAAACCATTTAAATTCAAATTCCTAACTGTGCTGCAAACTTATAGAACTCTAAAAACTGTCTTCACAATTTCAAATTTTTTTCTCATATTTTTTTTTTTAATATTTCAAGTATTCTGTTTTGTAGCCCATAAAATTTTAGTGTAGTAAAGTGTAATCTTGCATCTTAAACGAAAATATTTAAATAGGAGAATGCCTTCAAGAGCGTGCGTAAAAAGAGTTATAAAAAATCAGCGAGATTAATTATACTAAAATTTAATGGGCTATAGAACTGCATACTTATAAACTCTGATTTAAAATATTGAAGTTTTTATAACAGTTTCTAGAATTCTACTAAATTTCCAACACAGTTAGAAACGTGATTTTATTTGTTTATGTTATAATACTTATGAGACATCCTTAAATAAAAAATTTACGAAAAATATTTAGCATGAAAACTATTGTGAATATTCAAAATTCTATATTTCTTATGAGATGGCGGAAAGTATATGTATTACATTTCAATAAATTTAATGCAATTTAACGCTGAGTTATCACAAATAATCATTCAATATATCACAGTTTTTCTCATTTTTTGACACGACTTAGTTTAGATTTTTAATTATAGGTATCCCAGAAATACCCATTATTCGTAACAAATATAAATTATTTGTAAGAATAATGGCTTTAGAAAATAAAGGAATAATTGACACTTTATATACCTAAATTTAAAGCACAGTTTGCGTCAAAAAGTAAATTAGTTCAAAACAAATAGCTCTTGAAACATATAATGAAGTATTTTTATGTACAAAATTGTATGCGTGCTTATTTAAGAAAAGGCTCTATACTATACTTATTAGAACCAGCTCAAAACTAACCACATTTTTTCTAGCCCGGAGGTGACCCTTTTTGAACTATCTAAGAACTGTTGTTATATGAACTGTATCAGAACCATCTAAGCCAGAGTCAGCTCAGAACAAGTTCAAAAGTTCTGCAGAGGGCGACAATTGTCACTTCGTAGGACATCGCCATGTTAAAAAAGACAGTTGCAAGCATTGAGTTGGGATAGATGAAGAACCAGTACTGTCCCTTTTCAGGCTAGCTCAGCGCAAGTTCTGAACCAGTTTGATTTGCTGCAGGGAAACCACCTCATCATACAAAAAAAAGTAAATATCTCTTAAAAAACACCCAATTTTTGTAACGTGTTTTTTATAGAGAACTAGCAGAGCAGCCGACGTCGTTAGGGTTAAACAAATCAAAATATAAAACAGTAATACAAATATTCAGTTCAGCATAATTTAAAGGAGATAAACTATTTTCTTTGTTTACATTAAGGCATCCTTAGGAGCCATACTTTTGGCTTTATCGTGCTATAACTAATATATATCGATCATCATTTGTACTGCAAATTTTGTTCCATTATTAATATTAGATAGATTAAGATAACAATCAAATTTTTAAATTAAAATTATTCTATTACGGTACATTCCGTTTAGCTGCCTATTTTTTAGCTGTTTTATTTATGCACTTTTCTAGTATAATGCTTAATTCGGAAGGAGTTTTATTCATTATGAATGAACATTTTTCGTTTAACAGCATCGCAAGATTAAACAATGATTTAATCTTTCCATTTCAAAATAATATAAATACGGTAAGGTTTCAAAAAACAGCACACAGTTTTAAATATCCGAGCTATCTAATAGATAAATATATATATATATGTATATCCCCCTTTTACAAACTCATTTATATATACTTTACTCTGAACACCTCCCATAGATACCTATGTATAAATACCAACATTCAAGTTCATGTGACTTATGGTTCCCAATTTATGGCTGATTAAAAATTCCACGCCTGCGGGATGTGCCACGCCGCCTTTTATAAACTCATTCATATATACCTTACTATAAGCTCCTACCTGCATAGCAAATTTAAATTTAATGTGACTTATGATTTTGAGGTTATAGCTGATAAAAGTTTTCACGCCTATGAGATTGTCACGCCATCTTTTACAAACTTATTTATATTTATCTTTTTATAAGCACCTACCATAGCTACATTTGCATACCAAATTTCAAGTTCGTGAGACTTATGGTTCCGAAGTTATACCTAATAAAAATTCCACACCTATGGGATGTGGGACGCACCCTTTTACAAACTCGTTTATATATAACCTCCCATAAGCACCTACCATTGATATGTCTGCATATTAAATTTGAAGTTCGAGGGACTTATGGTTCCGAAGTTATAGATGATAAAAAAATTCACGCCTATCGGATGCACCACGCCCCCTTTTACAAACTCTTTTATATAGACCTTATTATAAGCACATCCTCTTGATATGTCTTCATACCAAATTTCAAGTTCATGAGGCTTATGGTTCCGAAGTTATAGCTGGTAAAATATTCCACGCCCTTGGGATGTGCCACTCCCCCTTTTACAAACTCGTTTATATATACCCTCGTATAAGCACCTACCATTTATATGTCTGCATACCAAATTTCAAGATCGTGGGATTTATGGTTCCGAAGTTATAGCTGGTAAAATATTCCACGCATATGGGATGTGCCAGGACCCCTTTTACAAACTCGTCTATATATACCCTCGTATAAGCACCTACCATTGATATGTCTGCATACCAAATTTCAAGTTCGAGGGACTTATGGTTCCGAAGTTATAGATGATAAAAAAATTCACGCATGGGATGCACCACGCCCCTTTTACAAACTCTTTTATATAGACCTTATTATAAGCACCTACTATTGATATGTCTTCGTACCAAATTTGAAGTTCATGGGTCTTATGGTTCCGAAGTTATAGGTGGTAAAAGATCCCACGCCTATGGGATTTGCCCCGCCCCCTTTTACAAACCCGTTTATATATACCCTCGTATAAGCACCTACCATTGAAATGTCTGCATACCAAATTTCAAGTTCGTGTGACTTATGGTTCCTAGGTTATACCTAATAAAAAATTACATTCCTTTGGGATGTGCTACGCCCCCCTTTTGCAAACTATACCATTGATATGCATGCGCACCAAATTTCAAGTTCGTGAGACTTATGGTTCCGAAGTTATAGCTGATAAAAATTCCGCGCCTATGGGATGTGCCACGCCCCCTTTTACAAACTCGTTTTTATATACCCTCCTGTAAGCACCTACCATTGATATGTTTGCACACCAAATGNGAGACTTATGGTTCCGAAGTTATAGCTGATAAAAATTCCGCGCCTATGGGATGTGCCACGCCCCCTTTTACAAACTCGTTTTTATATACCCTCCTGTAAGCACCTACCATAGATATGTTTGCACACCAAATGTCAAGTTCGTGTGACTTATGGTTCCGAAGTTAAAGCTGATAAAAAATTCCGCGCCTATGGGATGTGCCCCGCCCCCTTTTACAAACTCGTTTATATATACCCTGCTATAAGCACCTTCCATTGCCATGTTTCCATAGCAAATTTCAAGTTCGTGGGACTTCTGGTTCCGTTGATATAGCTGATAAAAATGCCACGCCTATGGGATGGGCCACGCCCTGTTTTATAAACTCATTTATATATGCCATACTATAAGCGCCTACCATAGACTTGCCTGCATACCAAATTTCAAATTCTTGAGACTTATGGTTCCGAAGTTATAGTTGATAAAAAATTCCACGCCAATGGGATGTGCCACGCCCCCTTTTACAAACTCATTTATATATACTCTCCTATAAGCACCTACCATTGATATGTCTGCATACCTAATTTCAAGTTCGTTTGACTTAAGGCTCCGAAGTTATAGCTGATGAGAAATGCCACGCCTATGGGGTGTGCCACTCCCCCTTTTACAAACTCGTTTATATATTCCCTCCTATAAGAACCTACCATTAAAATGTCGGCATACCAAATTTCAAGTTCGTGTGACTTAAGGTTCCGAAGTTATAGCTGATAAAAAATTCCACGCTTATGAGATGTGCCACGCCCTCTTTTACAAACTCATTTATATATACCCTCTTATAAGCACCTACCATTTATATGTCTGTATATCAAATTTCAAGCTCATGTGACTTATGGTTCCGAAGTTATGGCTGATTAAAAATTTCACGCCTATAGGAGGTGCCACGCCCCCTTGTAGGATCCCAATTTTTTCACCCTATTATAGGCCCAGGAGTCATGGCAATACTCTGTCAAAATGTTGTTCGATTCTATCCGTCCGTGTAGGCTGCAACGTGGCACATACATACATACTTCCACAAATATATATGTAGTAGATTTTTCCTATATATATATATGTAGTAGATTTTTCCTATTAACACATACTCATAAAATTAACACTAATTACTGGCAAATCTAAGGCTTCTTAATAAAAGTGTTTAATATGTTAAAGTGAACTTTATCAAGAGTTTTATTTTATTGTATATTCATGAATTCACTTTATTTTTTGACTCCGAATGTAGTGGTTTCGGTCCATAAATGGACTAGTATTTTTCTGTCTATTTTCAACTAACTATTTAGTATGAGACTGGTATATTTCTGACCGAAATCTGACAATTGCCATCTCGTAGGACATCCCCGTTTTAGAAATACTAGTTCANGAGTTTTATTTTATTGTATATTCATGAATTCACTTTATTTTTTGACTCCGAATGTAGTGGTTTCGGTCCATAAATGGACTAGTATTTTTCTGTCTATTTTCAACTAACTATTTAGTATGAGACTGGTATATTTCTGACCGAAATCTGACAATTGCCATCTCGTAGGACATCCCCGTTTTAGAAATACTAGTTCATTGCATGGTAAAAAGATAGTTGGCTGACTAGTTGGGAATGCAGTTCATACTAGTTCTGAGGTAGTTTACAACTAGTTCATTTGACTACAGGGATACTAAAAGTATTTATTTGTTTGATCGTGCACACTCTAACTGCACATATATTGAGTGTAAATCATGATGCAATAATACAGGGTGGTGNCGTGCACACTCTAACTGCACATATATTGAGTGTAAATCATGATGCAATAACACAGGGTGGTATCAGTTGTGGCAGCTCGATTTGACACTGCTTTAGCTCAGTAGAATAAGAAGAAAAACTGGAAGAAATGAATCCCCATTTGGGGAAATATATAAAATTTCATTTTTTCTTCTAAACAAAATTTGCTTTTTTTATAGTATATTCGCAATGAAAGGGAATAAAATTAGATATAATACCTTTTTGAGAAAACAAGATGTGTGTGCTGAGAAAAAACAAAAAAAAATTCAACTATATTATTAGGCAAAAAATTGTTTAAGAAGTAGCACTGTTTCACCTAAGGCAGTCAATATGGCGGAATTAGAGCGAGTAGTTGCCAACCGATAACACCTTGTATTATTGCATCATGAGTGTAAATAACGTGTAAATATATTGTAAAATAGTGCCATACAAGGTGGTTAAAATTACAAACTTTAACAACAAATTCCTTTAAAACTACATACAGGGAACTATTAGACGCCCCTCTACCTCCCATATTTTCCTTAATGCTGTACTTCGGGATTACCAATCTAAAGCCCTCCCAAAAAAACTTTTGTAAGCTTACTTAGATTTTTGATCAAAATTGCTCCAAAGAGAATTGCTCTTTGTTTGATCCACGTTATGTTCCGGTAAATTATCATTTTGAAACCTAGTTAAAGCGCCAACATTCCACGACGTAGCGTAAAGGTATGTTGACGTACGTAGAGCATACCAAATACTATTGATAGAGAGAGAGAAGCAAGGGCAACTTCAAAGCCATGCGGTAGTGAGTTTTCGTTAACACGCGAATCCCATAAGTAAGATCGTGTCTGCGTCAATCTACGTCTACGCTACGTCGTTGACTGTTTGCACTTTTATACAATGCTCCTCAACCATTCTCCATTCAACCATTGTAAATTTTGCCGTTACGTTGCTTTGGCGACGCTTGCTATGAAAATATATTTTAACGATGAAGTTTGAGTATCAATACTATTCACATCTCTAAAGCTAACACCATCAAGCGCAGCTATTCCGCTGCTTTTCACACTTGATCATGTGAGACCGTCGGTTTCAATCCTACTGAAAGAAGTCTGATGAGGAAATGTGGTGATTTCCGAAATAGCTATCACATCTACAATTTTTTCAAATTATTGTTGCTTTTCCATAATAAGTTATTCATTAAAAACGGCTTCAAGCTCAACAATAATTGTTGAATATATTTGTTATAAGGCCATAAAATAACAAAAACAGATAGCTTAAGGACGAGCACACCTAAAAGTTAAACATTCTAAAAATATAATTATTAACAAAAACCAAAAAAACTAACAACCACATGATCAAGTGTGAAAAGCAGCACAGTGCGTAGGCAAATTCTGAGTCAGTGGGATCGGCTAAGGCATCTAGTACCGGGATTCGGGATCCCGCTTGCTTCGCGGCGCCTAATCAGATCTTTTGCGTTGGCTAATACAAAAATAGCATTTAATAGCAAAAGCGGTCTCTAAAGTAAACATCTTTAGTTTAAATTGAAACGACTAAAGAGCAGAATCCTCCTCACACATAGGCCAAGAATAGTAGCGCTGTGATACCATATGGAATATTAATTCTTTTCGATGTCATGAGTTTTACCGATGGTCTTATTTCCACCTGTGAGATCTCTGCCAAGCGTGCGAAATATTCTTCTATGATCTTGCAACTTTAACATTGGTCCGTAAACCAGTTTTCAGTTATAGAAGGGCCAGAAAATCTTCGCCCCCCATCCCCCCAGGATGAAAAGTTTTCCCGTACATTGACTAAATGAGTCATGTGATCTCTTAAATATCGTTCAAATGAAGCCACTGATATACCTATCGTGTTCCTTTTTTTACGGATGTGGTCGAATATTTGCTTGCCAATTTGCCACTTTTACAATTTACCTTAATATTTATGAACTGGTTTCTTTGAGTCTTACTGCTGTACTAACGGTCGCCCCGAGCAATTTCGTCAATCGGAGGTAGGTGCAAGATCGCATTTAGGGTGTATGAGGGCGTCAGGCAAAGGTGCGCTTACACAATGTTGCGTTCTTTACGTGCACACTTCAACGAATGCTCCATTTAGCCATATGAAAAGTAAATTCGTTGAGGATGAATATACGGCAAAAGCAGACCAAACCCCGTGTGGGTTTCTATATATTTCGGCTGCAGCTCAATTATTCAAAATCACTGCTTGTCATGAAATGAATGCGCATTATAAATTTCAATCAGATTTTATAAATTATAACCGGTTCATTTTTAGGAAACGAATTTTTCATCATACAGGTAGCTAACTTTGCGAATTTGAACGAAATCGATTAATAAATAAGACTCTTAGACTTCTTCTGCTTAGACTTAAGATAAGTAACTCTACTCCAGCGCCATCGGCGTGTTGTCTAATGGGCTATACTAGGAATATATGCAAGGTATAACCTCCGACAAATTGACTGGTTTTTGAGTTTAGTCCGAACAACGAAAACGGCTATCATTTTATGTGTGTATGTACATATATGTTTAGAATGAAAAAAAAAGTAAGTGCGCCTGGGCCACACTGTAGAAGTGAAACTTGCGTTACTTATCTATCTGTACATACGCACATCTGCTTTTGCTTAAGGTTTGCTTAAGGTATTTTTGCGCTTTTTTTCTATCAATGTAGATCCCTACCTCTACCACTGTTCGTTTTAATAACATTCATGTTATTCGGTTTTTCCATTATCGCCATTTTTATCTTTGTACTCTATCGATACCAAAATCGATTATAACGTCCATCAAAATACCGATAACAAAATCGATGACAAATTGGATAAAAATTTCAACAGCAACATCG